AGCTTTATTTTGAAAGTTTTACACAGTATATCTTTTTCCATTTAATCTATGTCATTCTATTTAAAGTATCTTTCTTGTACATAGCATAGAGTTGGGTCTTTTTAATCTGAATTTACCATCTCTTTTAATTTGTATGATTAGACCATTTACATTTAATGTAATTATTGATGTAGTTGAATTTAAGTCTCTTTATCCTTTCTGTTTTTATTCCTTGTTCCTTCTGCTTTTTCCTGTCCTCCTTGGATTGTTCTAACCTTTTTAAGTATTTCATTTAATGTATTGTCTTTTTTGTTTTTATCTCTTAGTATATTTTTTATGGTTTTGGTGTTAAACATACCTAGCCTTAAACAGTCTATTTTGAGTTAACATTTTGCCACTTTAAGTAGAATGTAGAGTCTAACAACCTTATAGGTTCCTTTACTCTCCATTCTTTATTTTATAGTTTTCTAAATGGGTATTACATCTACATACATTTAAAATGACACAAGACAATATTCAGATTTCTTCTTTCAGTAGTCATACTTATTTTAAAGAACTTAAAAGGACAAGAGCAGTTTGTTATATTTAGTCAGATATTTATTATTCTTAATTGCTCTTTGTTCTTAAAGCCTCAGTTTCCCTCTGGTATTAATTTCTTTAGCCTGAAGAACTTTCTTTAGCATTTCTTCTAGAACAGATCTTTTGGCAACAAATACTTTAGTTTTCTCTGATGTGAGAAAATCTTTATTTCACCATCATTCCTGAGCAGTATTTTTGCTGGATATAGAATTCTAGGTTGACACTTTAGTTTCTTTGAACACTTTGAAGGTATTGTTTCACTGTCCTCTAACTTCTATGATTTTTGATGAGAAATATCTAATTATTTGAGTGATTCTTCTCTGTATGGTTTTTTATTCTTTACTTTCAAGTTTTTTTTTTCTTTATCTTTGGTTTTCATTGATTTGATTATGGTATGTTTGGGCATGGCTTTCTTTGAGCTTACCCTTTTCCTGGTTAGTTGAGCTTCTTCGTTCTGTAAATTCATATATTTTCACAAATTTGGAAGTTTTTAGTCATTATTTCTTCCACAGTTTTATGTATCTATGTCTCATCTTCTGGGACTCCAGTAATACAAATATTACACATTTTGATGTTTTCCCACTTGTCTTTAAGGTTTGGTTCATTTTCTTCTGATTTTCTCTGTTCTTCAGATGAGATCATTTCTATTTTCACATTCACTAACTTTTCCCACTGCCATATCCATCCTGCCACTGATCCTATCTAGTGAATTTTTTATTTCAGATATATTTTTTCCAGTTCTAAAATTCCCATTTAGTTCTTTTTTATAGTTTGTCTTTTACTCATTTAATAGTGTTTACCTTCTCATGGAGCATAGTTATATAGTTACTGTAAAGTCTCTGATCATTCTCACATATGGTTTATCTTGGTTGGCACTGTTGATTGTTTTTTCCCTTGAGAATTGATCACATTTCCCTGTTTCTTTGTAAGCCAAATAATTTTGGATCCTGGATGTTTTGAATATTGTGTTGTGAAAATCTGAGTCTTCTTAAAATCCTCTGGAGAATTTGTTTTTGTTTTTGTTTTGTTTTTGTTTTTTAAAGCATACAGTCAACAATCAGGGTAGATTCAGACCATAAGTTTTGTTTTACCTTCTTTGGATGACATTATCAGTAAAGTTTTCAAAGCCTTGTCTCTGTTGCTTGCGGTCTGCCCAGTACATAGGACGTGGGCCTGTTGGTATATAGTTTTTAGGGGTCTCCCTCTTCAGCTCCTGATTGTGAGGAGGGTCCCCTTTTCCCAGTTCTCTCACCAACTAGATGATATTTTTCCTTTTTTGCTGTATGTGCCCTCTACAAAGTTCCCAAAATGGGACTAATTTTCTGCCAACCCAGGAGACAAAAGAGGGGGAAAAAAGTAACATGAAATCAGCCTCACATGGCTTATTTCTTAAAGTTTTATTTCTCCAATCTACTTGTTTATTTACTTTTTAGAGCCCTCAAGGTGCTGCTTTTTGTACTTTTGGAGAGAGATAAGCAATAGTGGGTTTATTCCATTTTAACTGATCACATTTTGTTTTTAATTGGCATTTAAAAATATAGAAATGTAATTTTTAAATACTTGTGGCTTAAATAATCAGTTGTGGCAATTTTAATTTTCTGTTGGTAAAAATTGTTTGATATTTAAAATATCAGATTCTATAATTGAAGAAGCTTGCTAATTTTATTAAGTTTTTAATTTTAATTCCAATATAGTTAACATACACTGTTATGTTAGTTTCAGGTGTACAGTGTAGTGATTCACCAGTTCTGTACATTACTCCGTGCTCATCATAAGTGTACTCTCCATTCCCCATCACCTGTTTCACCCATATCTCCACCCACCTTCTCTCTGGTAACCATCAGTTCTTTATAGTTAAG